ATGTATGTATGTATGGATGTATGTATGGATGTATGTATGGATGTATGTATGTATGTATGTATGGAGGGATGGATGTTCTCTTTCTAAAACATATTTGATTTCTCTGTGTCATTCAACTGCCCCTCTGCTAATGCTGGTATATTAAAGTGGAGTCTTGAGATGACTGTGAGGACTTGAGGTGTAAACAATGTATTCAGTATTCTCTCAGTGTCCATGTCCAGCAGTCCAGCTCCGAGTACACAGCTTTTCCTCTCAAGAATGCAGCGATAGTGCCCCATTGTCCAAGGACACAAGTTGAATGACAACTACTTTGTCGCTTTAAAGAGCAGTGCCAGTGTTGTTATTTAACACGCCTTTTCTCATTTCTCAATTCGAGAAGTTTGACTGTATTCTCTGACATTCCAGGCATCCATTGGTTTCCATCAATTCCTGTACAATGTGAAAATCTAAACAATAAGCGCAGTTGAAATGTCTACCATTCCACTACTGAGCAACTTCTTCCCACTGATGAAGACCATGTGATACAGTTGAAAGCCTCAGAAAAACATAGGCAGACCTTACTTTGGGATGGGTTTGTCACTATGAGACAAACTTTTAAAATCAATTTGTGCTTGAACTTACAAAAGTGAATGCAGACTTGAAGTTCACAGATTTATGGTGGTATGATTAATGTTTATGGTGTTACAAATTTGCAAACACTTGGACTTATATGGTCCAACTGTCTATTCTGGACAAATGTAGAGTTTCCAGTCTTATTTTTAAATACTGGGCCACTGCTCATTGTAAGCAGGCCAGCTCAAGTTGTCAGTGTCAAATAGAAAGTCCTTTAGGACTCATTTTCATGCCAGGCACAAACAGGGCCACAGAGAAAAGATGGAGGCACAGAAAGGGGCTCAGTTGGGTCACTGCCAAGGGCAGCCGTTAAAGCAGCCCACTCAATTCCCCCCCCTCCACCTCTCCTGCAGAACAGTGCCACAGTGTTTAACTGCGCCAGACTAACTGAGAGAAGTTATTTATCAGTATATCCTCGAGGTCGTGCGGCAATCGTCCTGCGTTTGACACAGTCTGTAAAAGGCCACATCAGCAGACAGATAATCTGTGAGATAAAGAAGAGCATCTTCCATGCCAGCTCGGGGAGGGGGGGGGGGTCTGGGAGGGAGAAGGGAGGGGTGTATATAAAGGGAGGCCAACGGGCATTCGCAATCCCACGGTCTGCCTGTGCTTCATCACCAGCTGCCTTCAACCCACAGCGAGCCTGCAGCCATGACGTTCAACGGAACCTGGAAGGTCGACCGCAGCGACAACTATGACAAGTTCATGGAGCAAATGGGTGAGTGTGTGTGTGCGTGTGTGTGTGTGTGTGTGTGAGAGAGAGCCTGAATGGGTCACCGAAGTCATGCTGTACTTCAGCTCCATTTTTCTGCTGAGTCCGGCCTTCTGATCTAATTCATGAGAGCAATGCATGTCACCGTGTCGTGTGTTTCCATGTAGTTTGACATCGCTGTGTGAGTATTACACCGAGCAGTGAGGTGTTGACAAGCGTGAGGTGTTTATGGTGCTACCCATAATAATAGCAATAGCTAAATAAAGATCTTTCTTTGGACTTGGACACACTCCAATAGATTTGGAAAGCGGACGAGTGAAAACTTCTAAAACAAATTGAGTCTGAGATAAATTGTCATTTACGATTAAATTCAATTTGACTTTATTTCAGACACGTGGGTCCATATAAAAAAATATCTTTTACTATTTACTTTCAATAAATAATCTTCATTTCATCCCGTAATTGAAGAAATCCAGCTACATGTTATATTTCTTTTCTGTTTAAGGTATTAATATCATGAAGCGAAAGCTGGCAGAGCACGACAACCTGAAGATGACCATCGAGCAGACCGGGGACAACTTCCACATCAAAGAGTCCAGCACCTTCCGCACTAAAGACATCGACTTCACCCTGGGCGTCCCGTTCGACTACAGCCTGGCCGACGGCACTGAAGTCTCAGTGAGTGAACTAAAGTGGTTTCGGACATTATAAAACCAACAGCAGCAGGTGTTACCAATGATAATACAAATATACACAAAAGTAACAGAACATAAGAAGAGCACCAAAGAGCTTCTATGTATATTTTTAACCAGGGTACGTGGGAGATGGAGGGTGACATGCTGAAAGGCAAATTCACCAGGAAAGACAACAGCAAGGTCCTGACCACCACTAGGGCTCTGGTGGGAGGAGAGCTCGTACAGGTCAGTAGATCAAGATGTATTTCATCAATAATATGCAATATGCTCATTTGTTTTCTTTCCATAAACTAACACGCCTCTCTTTTTTTTTGTTTTTACCCCATGCAGAGTTACAACTATGAGGGAGTGGATGCCAAGAGGATTTTCAAGAAGCAGTAACCTTGTGTCTTAAGTTCATATTTTTTATTTTTATCTAGATGACACATAGATCTGTATTGTTGTTTTTTCTAACAATGAGACATGGCTAAGTCAAGTGTGTTCTACGTCAGACACCTCACAAATGTGGTAACATTTTCCAGAGTGCTGAGAGAGGAATAGCTTTCCGAAGCGTCCCACTGTAAGTAGCGATGTAAAAATGTCTGGAAAACGAAATGGCTTGAAGCGAACCTAGAAAAATAAACAGGTAATGATTGTTCGACTTGACGATATCCTACTTAACTACATGCAGCTGGGCAGGCAGGTGGACAAAATCAGATAATCAACTGAAGTATTCAGTGTGAGGGATGACGACGCCTAAAGGAGAGTATAACAGAAAATCCGTCACCATGTCAGTGGAATGTGCCTTAATCTTAGCAACCAGTCTGCCAGAAGTGGCCAAAGTCTCTTGTGGTATCTAGCCATGCAGATAGTTTGGGTTTTTGGGTTTTTCTCTGCCAATATTTTTATATAATTGTCTCTGAGATGTATATTGCCACCCTACTACAAAAGAGGAGAACGGAATTTTGTTTGTGTTTCTCCCTGCATTGAAAGGTGTCATTTAAAAAAAAAATTCAACAGCGGCTTTTGTCTTTTCAGAAGCCATGACCCAGTTACTCATGATAATCCACAGAGCACGTTGCCAACAGTTTCCAGAGGGAACTACTTCATTGGTACGATGTAGTTCCAATGAAAGCCGTCCTTGTGTTTGTGGATTATCCAAGGCAACCGGTGCTTTGTTTCTGGAGATGCATGCTACTGTTGAAATGTAATTTTCAACACTGTGAGCAATACCAAAGGAAATTCTTCCACCTCTACGGTGTTAGGGTGGACGCATGAATCTTAGACATGAATACCTCAAAATCTGGGCGAAAAAATGCCATAAATATCAGCATGATTAGTTCCAGCTGGAGTAAGGATGGACCACAGCTACTTAAACTTGACTTCACCGTGCTTTTAACTGCATCAAAACAACCCCATCTAATCCCACACTGGACTGCATCCTTGTGATGGGAAGCAGTACACCATGACATAATGTATTAATGGTTCTTATATATTGTATTGTCTGTAACAATTAAACAATTTTCATGAATCACTTGTGTCTTGGTGTTATTTTCAAGTTTTTTAAAGAGGCAGTGTGTAGGATTTAGAGGCATCTAGTGCTGCAGTTTCAGATTGCAACCAACTGAATACCCCGCCCTCCACTTTCCAAGACCGAGGTAACGTGGGCCACCGAGTGCAAAATGGTGGTATCTTTCAGGACCTTCGCACGCCTTCTTCAGGAGCAACGCAATTCGGGGTTTTACCGTGGTTTCTCAAGCGTGTCGGAGAACTCTCATGGCCTTCAGGTAACGTAAACATACCAAAAGGCCCTCCCAAGACCCAGTGTTTGATTTAATTTGTCCTGATCTACAGTAGAAACATTGCTGTTGCAACATGGCGGGCTCCATGAAGAGGACCTGCTCCCTTTGTAGATATGAAGGGCTCATTCTGAGCTTATGAAGGTACGATTCTTAGGTTCAGGTGATTATACATTAATGAAAACATAGTTATGGATATTATAGACCATTGCTGCCAATAGGTCCCCCAAACACACTGGCCCTTTAATGAATGAATGAATTATTCAAGTTTAACTGTTGCGCCAAAGGTCTACAAACTTACAGGTCATGTTGCCTCCAAGTCAACTTTTATCAAGTGATTAAGATCAAAAATCCCGTCTTGTGATGACATTTTACGAGCATAATAAGTTCATAGTTCTTGTCTTGATTAAGGGAAGGATAACATTACCTCGGCGTTACAGATGCCGCTTTAAAGTCCCTCCTACATAGCCTGCAGCAGGGTCTTGTGCTGTCATGTGCTGGCCTTTGGGTGCTAGGGACATGAGGATTCCTCACATGATGACGATGAAGAACATGTTTCTTTCTTTGCAATGGTGAGAGGAAAATAAAAGTATATGCATTGAGCATCTCTGACCACAAGAGGGCGACATGTTTCTACTTTTACTTTAGAGTCGATCCATTAGATACTTCAGCACAGAATGAAAGTTGTAAATGTGATTTAAAATGTTTTTAAAACTCTTTTGGATTAGCGTTGAGTAGTTTTAGGAAAACAAATAGATAAAGGTGCTGCTTGATGGAGAGACTCTGCTGCTTGGGGTAAATCTTGGGATACTGGGGTTTGGAGTAATACTTGATCAAATGGGTAAGTGCTCCTCAATAGTTTTAACCAAATATCATTTGGCCCTGCTGTGTGTCTTCTTTTGCTGGATTCATGAAAACCATTGCAGGATTTAAAATAGACCAGAAGATATCTTCCAAGCACATTTGATAACTACTAAAAAGGAAAGGTGTCATCCCCACGGAGGCCCATCTAAACCTGGACAGCCTGAGATGACATCTAGCATCAATCGACACCCCCCCCCCCCCACTGAGGCCTGAGTGTCACTGTCTTTCATGGAGGTATAAACCCACCGCGCACAGGGCTAATCTGGTAGAGGCGGGGCTGCTTTGAACACCGGTTCACCCCTGAATCCACCACGGGGGAGTGGAGTCCTCTGAGACCCCTCAGATGCTGTGAGCCTGCAGATTTTAGTGCAAGGAGAAATGGGTTGGTGGGTCTCTGACTCTTATGCTTTCCATCTCAGCAAGACTGTAGTTGTGTCCAGTCTTCCAGTTAATACCAGATGTGCTTTGGTATACATTCAGCCCATCTTTGAAGAATTCACATGCATACAGTACATTTAATGTATACAGATGATTACTAACATCAGGATGTACAGTGTTCTTTTTACTCCACCACATTTATATTACACTGGTAGTTACTGTTAAGTACATTTACTCAAGTACTGTACTAAAGGACAATTTTTTACATTATATAGGGTTGTACATTTATCTCACATGTATAGTTACTATATTGTTTCAGATTAGGATTTTACATACAGAAATAGTTACTTCTACTTCAGTAAATTACGTGAACACTTCTTCTTCCACATAGATTTTACACTTAAAGTGGATTAAATGTATCAAATAGGTTCCTATAGTTTAAACACACCACGAGTGTAAACAGCAGTTGAAGTGTTTTGAATGCAGAACCTCGACCTGTAATGGTATATTGTACATTGCGGTATTGCCACTTTTACCAAAGTAAAGGATCTAAATACTTCTCTCAGCACTCATTATGGGAACAGTGTCCCGTGTACTGTAGCTGATTCCTGTAATGTGTCTTCATAACCTTTGGGTGGCGCTGTCGAAGCCTTTATTTTCTGAGAGAAAGGGCCTTTGGTTGTTCTATGATGTCATCCTCAGTCAAGTTATCATATGACACACACCCTATTTGTACAGGCAGACACACGCACACACACACACACACACACACACACACACACTACATAATTATTGGATCTCTACTCAGATTATGAAAACAATATCTCTATGTACTTATCCAAGGAGTAGACTGGAGCAACATGAAATCAGTGAGAAACAGGGAAGTTGCGGGAGCGTTAGCCCTCAGTGTTTTGATTGCTGTGAGACCGAGGGAGCAGGGGCCCACTCAAGGGAGATAGAAGCCGTGGATGAGCAAGGAAGAGGAGGAGGAGGAGGAGGAGGAGGAGGAAAAACAGTGAGAGGTGGACAGAGAAAAGACTGAGAGTGAGAACGAGGGGAGCGCAGAGAGGACAGTAGAGGGAGAAAACACTCCATCACCCCCCCACACCTGCTGTGAAATCAAATTCACTGACTCACTCTCAAGTCGTCAGCTCATCTGAAAACTGTAACGATCAGAAAGGACACCAACAGCGCGGTGGGGAGTGTCGGGGCTTTTGGTTGGGAAAGCTTTCCAGGAAGACAGAACCCCCCCCTTATGGCCAATCACTGTTTAGACAATGACTGTGCAGACAGATGAGTCACCAGTTAGTCAGTGCTGCACACTCTGTGAACCTTTTCACAATGCCTTGAGACTTGCGGGCATTATTTCGGATTTATGCCGTTGTACATGCTCAGAAGCGACTTTTACCAACCGTGGGAATACGGAAGTGTTATTATTATGATAAGTACGGTAAGTATGACGATGATGAATTTAAGTTCAAGAAAATAATGACCAAACTGTTCACTGAGGTCACTTCCTCCTATGCAACTATGAAAATGCTGCTGTTACAATGTCTTGATAATGTTAGATAATCTAGATATATTATAGGTAAAACAATCAAGGTGCAAGATCCGAGGTTGGGAGCATTTCGGTTGTTTCTCAATGGTTCTCAACATGTCGAAAGTGAGCCAAAAAAAGGCATTCTGCTTTTTTGAGGAGTTTCAGGTCACAGCTCTCACTTTGGCTATAAAAGGACCGGGTGGATCGCCGTACCCCCCCCCCCCCCCCATAGGACTCACACAGCTGTAAGCCTTTTCCAAGTCCACAAAAACAGAAGACTGGATGACCCCCATGACCCCAACAGCCCTGCCAGGATAAAGAGCTGGTCCGCTGTCCGCGGCCAGGCCGGGATCCGCTTTGCTCCTCCTGGATCTGAGGTTCTACAATCAGTCGGAGCCTCCTTTGCAGCACTTTAGAATACACTGCCCCAGGGAGGCTGAGCGGTGTGACTTTTAATTTGAAGAGGGGAAATCTCTCATTGGTTGAACTGCTGACAACATGTAAGATTAAATTGCGACAAAAGGTCACAAGTAGACGTTTGCTTCAAAAAGTTTTGGAACTAGAGCGTTGAATGAATCACGGCACCGTGTGTAACAGCAATGTATGATAGCACACCGTGCCTATGCCGGTAAGCGGTGGTCAATGTTTCACCGCAGTGGGCAAAGCAACACAGTAGATAGGGAAATGAATACAAAATACAGGCCTCGATCGTTCAGTGCCGAGCAAAAACAGACACATTTCAGCAAGGACATTTAGTCTGGCACGCCACGGCTGGAAGAGGACGGTTGAAACGGGACAGAAACACCTCTTTAATGGACTCGTCAAAGGGAGTAACACCATTACAAAGTGTTGCCAGTTGAGGCGTCCGCATGCGATGCAGATATTCATCTATATGTCCCCTCGCCCCCCCCCCCCCCCACGCATGCTCACACAGGCGCTTTTATCCCCCACTTTACTCCACTCTTGACACCCTGCGTGTAGCCCCTCCGGGCACGGACTGGAGCGCGTGTCATGTGAGAAGCCGCTGCATGCCACCCGGTGTGACCGAGCAGACAGAAGAGAGCTGAGGCCGCAAAGACAGTTCCTGAAATTGGCTGTGGCCTCTGTCTCAGGAGTAGCCAGCTTATGGGTTAGGCGGGCTATTCTTATAGAGGGCAGCGAGAGGGCTCCAGCTCCCCTGGTACACAAACCACTTTATAGGATCCCACATCATGTTTTTGATGTGGGGGAGGTGTTATCCAATGACAAGTGTGAGGGAAAGGAAGAGGAGCCTTACGCAGGTGGATTTCTTTGTGAGTAAAAAAAGGCAAGTTGTAAGTGCAGTCAAAATGTGAAAAATGGAAATATTAATTCTCTTAGAATATGGAGAGACAAGACTGCCAAAAGGAATCAATCGGTTGGTGGAAAAAAAAAGAGGAAAGCTTTTTCACCTTTAATAAGTTGATGGCATAAATCAAATCATTAAACTGCGACTTCTACTTAGCTCACACTCTTTTCAATTGGTCCACTGATGGCACGCACACACACACGCACGCACGCACACACACTTTCTACGGATTGGAGGTTAAATAATTATACTGATATTTCTGTTTAGTCTTTGAGTATTTATGTAACTGATAAAAGATTTGATGATGTAATGATTTATGTTTTTAGCTCATTTGATATTTTTTTTAAGAGCTGTTTGTCAGTTTGGTTTGGTTTAAAAAAACACAAAAAACCCCCAAACTTAAAACAAACCTCACGAGGCACTATCCCAATCACATTCATAAAGATGAAATAATGTAATAACGACTGCAGGGATGACGTTAATCTTTAATGGCAGACGGCCTGAAATGTCTTCATTTAACATTTTCATAAAAACTCATTTTGATCACCTTTTTTTTTTTTTTTGGTTTCAAACAAACAAACCCTCTGCAATTCACTGAAATACAGTTTCTCCTCACAGCG